GATTGCTCGTAGATGATTCATTATTGAGTATAACTTATCTAGTTACAGACGAAAACTTCAATTATCAAGAGAAACACCAGCTAATATTTTCCTTCTGCTTCCTGATCTTAGACGGATGGCCAGGGCCCAGGGGAGCATCAGCGTAGTGGTGTAGGCGGCTGAGGCAGAGATGTCTGGTGGGCAGAGCTGGTACAGGGGTTCTCGTCTAAGAGGACACTAGGCGGGAACGGGGTGGGGTGAGCCATTGATACACTGTAGGTGGGCATGGGTGGTGTTGGAGGGGGGTGAGAGGGAGGAGCTTGGAGCGGAGGAGGAGGTAGAATTGCAGCTTTCCGCTTTCGGTTGGAAGAGGAAGCGTTTCAACCACAACCTTCCATTTATTGGCTGTCGGAAGGTTGTCGTTCAGCACAAACATGCTAGCATGCATGAGCTAGACGCGTTATTAATTGAAAAGCCAAGGCATCTTGACATTTTACTGTAAAGTAGACACGTGTCTTTATATCTGCAAATCTCCAATTCTAAAGGAAACAACTACCAATAATAATGCTTTTCAATTCAGACTATCATATTCAAAACTAGAAAAAACACTCACAATCTGTGGGGCATAAAAAGTATCTATTAAATGATATCTCGGTAAATTTGACGAAGCACCAATCCATGCATCTTCAAGGTTATCAGGACAATAAAAATCTTTGCCAAAAGAAAGACAATAAAAATGAAGGATACAAGTGCATGAATTAACAAATAACATACAGAAATATAAGAGCATTACTGTGAAGAAAGGTCATTGGCAAGTTGAGAATGAATTAACAAATGACATACAGAAACAGAAGAGTATTACCGTGAAGAAAGAGCATTGGCAGGCTGAGGATCGAACCAGCTTCTAAGAGAGTAGCTTTTCTGCCCGGTATATCATCAACGTCTGAGTGACATGCAAAGAGACATTTAGAACATGCAGTTAGCATCATAAAAACATGGGAGGTCGGCACGGATAATTTACCGCCAAGATAGGTGTGCAGTGCGGTTTGACGGCCGAATTCCCTACGTCCATCCTCATCATTATCCAGCCTGGTACACATGAATCAGGAAATGAGCATGAGAAGTGCCATGATCCAATCTAATGAACACGATCCGCAGCTAATCCAGACTACAGAGCGAGATTTCGGTCAGGGATGCTGTGTTTAGAGCTGTGGAGCCACTCCTTTCCCTGAAATCCCCACACACTCCCCACCCTAGGGTTTAGTCCGGATGGCAATATACTTCTTCTTTAATAAACGAGAGTAAACATCCATTCCCTGAAATCCCCACTCTCTCTCCACCCTAGGGTTTACAGGCCTAACGCTCATCCGACCGCAGCCCCCTCCGCTCTCAGCCCCGAAATGCTCTCTTGGGCGGATCGCCTCGATGTCGGCGGCTTCCGCACCGCCGATTCCACCGGCACAGCTCTACAGCTCCGCCCCCTAGACCTAGAACAGCAAGCACGCTACGGCTACAGCGCGGATGCTACACGGGAGGGGGGAGTATGGCGACGAGTGGTGTTGAGAGATGACCTCGCGAAGGAGCCGATGGCGAGCACCTGGCGGTAGATCTCGTCCTCCATCTGCTCCCACTCCCTCTCGAACCTCTCCTGGCCGCGGCCTGGGTTCACGTCGAGCAGCCCGGCGGCGAGCCCCACCCTTCCGGGCTCGTCCATCTCCGCGGCGTCCTGCAGGACCGTCCCGTCCCA